TATGCACCCAAATGGCACATCGATGCTCTGATGAGCATGACACATGTGAACTGCATGTAGGACGATGTCGCTCCAGGCTCATGAACAGCGAGCGGTGTAAAGCAGAGAGCCGAATGTAAACATACCTGCAAGCTAAAGCGGTCTCCAATAGGACTGCATCTGATGCCTTTTGCGAGCTGTCGAAGCAACCGGTGGCTAGGCTGTTCCTTTGGAACAGCGCCTTCAAGCCTTAAAGCACCACGTTTCCACAGGCGCAGCCCACCCTAGTCGGGCTGCAGCCGTGATCTGCGTGGACTTGCCTATGCTAGAGCACTGCTTCTGGCTACAGACCTAGCCGTGTAGTCAAACAAGCTATGTCACCTAGTGTTTGAGTGTTCCATGTCTCTGAGACAGCCTATCTTATCCGATTCTCGCTGCTCTCCCAAAACATGGTTTTCGCTGCTTCAAAGTTCTTTCTCAAAATTCGTACCAGAAGCCTTCGCTGACTTATTAATGTTGCTGCTTTGCAGCCTGGGCGTGCTGCTCAAAATGCTGCGCTGACCATATGGAGCGTGGCCATGGAGCTAAATCTTCAATGCTCAGATGCCCGGCGTTGTTCTCCAGCACCCCCTGTGGGCAGCGCCAGCAGCGAGCAGCATCAATCTTCATGGTGAGGCAACTGCCATTGCAGTGCAACCCCGCCATGAGAAGAAGAAGACAAAGACGAAGAACAATGTAGAAATTTAGCATTAAAAGAATCCTGGATTCCTCCTTGCCTTGGATTGCAGGAGGGAACAAGATTTTCTACACTATGGCCACTACGGACACGTGCTGTCCCGCACCTGCACATCCCCAACCCAGCTATATCGGCGTGTTGGTGAACGACACGCCCTGATTTTGCAGGTCGTCTGCCGATGACACGGCGGATAAAAGACCCTTTGCCTCGCTCGGCGATCTGGCCTCTGGGTTTGCACTTTTTGCACTTTGCCATCCAGTTAGAAGGTGGCCATAAACCAATCCCATCAAAATATATGACTTGAATAAGCAACTCGACTTCTTTAACTTGAGCGGTGCCCAAAACCCTAATCCTATTTCATTTCGGAAGCGAAAATGCATACGGTAGCTTACGTTTTCCTAGCTCTTGCTTACGACGTGATTTTGTTGTTGTTTCTGCTTACACCACTTACGCCGGCTTGCTGCAGCTGCTGCAACTGCAAGGACAAACCACACCAACCAAAAACACAGCTTACGACGCTTACGGCAACAACTTTGCCACAAAATTGCTTACGACACCGTACCAAACACCACACTTTGCTTACGCCAAACCTGGTTTCTGAAAGCCCCTGTCTTTCTAGATAAGCAGGGGTTTTGATCTCCGCTCTGTTAGGAATGGAACCAATGCGATTCGCATGTCAGATGGTATGGGCATGGGGAGCAGACACTAAAAGCCAAAAAATGTTGTTTTTGGCGAGCGTCGAGTGCGCATTGTTCCTCTTGCTTAGTCCTCAGCGTGCAAATGCACAGCGCAGGCTGCACCAGACCAAATGCTATAAAAATTTCCCACAAAACAGCTTAGAGTTCAAGGCTTACGGAACTTGGCTTTGGTGCGCCGTTAATGGAACACGGCTCCTGTAGCTGCTCTCACGTGGAATGCGTTTGCTGGTGCTGTTTGATCCCCAAGAACCTTTTACCATTTAATGTCCTCCTGCCACCAAAACCAATGTAGACAAAGTACATACCCAAAAAAGTCCCATTACCTGCATAAGCGACGCATAGAACACCCCCATGTTCGAAACACAACGACCCGAAGAAAACCTGATGCAGAACTATATGGTGATTGCGGCTAGCTGCCGAGAACAACCGGCGCGATGGAGGAGATCCTGCAAGGTGTTGCCTCTCCAGGATACCGGATGACTCTTATGGCCCTAGCGCCCTAGGGCTAGGGCCTCATGGAGTTTACCCACAGCTCACAACGTGGCGCCTGACAGCCCTCGCAGTCGGAGTCCGAAGAACAGGAGCAACGAGGACAAAAAGAGACCACCAACAGCTAGAACCTGCAGCCGGCCGGGCTTCAAAATGCTTTCAACAGTTTTCAGGGCTTAGGCCGGTCATAGGTCTGCCTTTTCTGCTGGGGGCCTAGTCCCCCGCATCAACCGCAAAAAGGCCGTTATGGCAGGAAACAATAGATGTGCAAGGAACGCTCAAACTAAGACTTCCTAGGCTGGCCGCAGCCCTCACTCCGAGCTGAGCTATCGATTGAGAAGTTCAATCCTGAAAGCGGTTAGGCAGCACCCGAAGCAAACTCCAAGGAGCTGCGATGGTAGCGATGCTGCGAGCACCCAGCCTGCATTCAGAAAGCAGAGGGTGGGTTCAAGGATGCCAAAACGGAAATTGCGAGATTCTTTTGCTCAACCGGAACTGTGTCTGACGAACTGCGGATGGGGATGAAGCTACAGGGCACGGTGCATGCAAATCTCCTTGGTTAGTGACAGAGTGTGTTTATCACCTGGCCAGCAACTGCAACAAGAAAAGGCCCAGCTTCAGCTGCAGTAGAGCGCATGCATCCCTGTCCCCGCCTCATGGTATTGGAAGACTTGCGCCCGAACTGTCGGAGGAAGGTGGTCTCGAGATTGTTGGCGATGTCCTCAGACTTTGATGTCCATGAGCTGCCAATTCTAAAAATCTGCGCGAGGCAAGCTAAGATGGATAGCAAGGGTTGACCACTTGCAATGCCAGGGGTCATCCAAAAGAAGACTGATGGCATGGTATGAAGCTTCAGGCTGATCTGCTGGGCACATGTGGCCGGCTTCCTCAATCCTTGGTGTGTGCACATGGTGTCGGAAGCTTGGTTCCTGGACTTGCAGAGGGGCTCGCTAGTTGTTTGGTTTTGTCGCAGACATTTACTTTTATAATACTCTTGCCTTCTTGCCCCGACGGCTTCTGGATTGGGATATGCGGCTGCGTGGTTTGTCTCTTGAATCTTTGATTGAGCTTTACTCATGCGTCGTGATGCTTACATCCAATGCATACCGCTGGTTCAGTACGAAGCTAGCGCGATCATATGATCACAGCTACACTTCATGACAGATTCCGGCCAATGAGCCTTCCTTGCAACATGGCAGCAGCAAACTGCTAATCATCCATCTGGCAGGCCTGAATGAAAAATCTGCCAATGGGCCAAGAGGCTGCACGAAAGTCAGGCCTCCGGGAAAACCACCAACAAGCTTCAAGGCGGGCATTTCATACATGCGTAGATGAACGAGATAGAGAAAGAGAGAGCGAGAAAGGAGGAGGAAGAAAAAATGACGAAGCGAGACAGAGAGAGAGAGAGAGAGATAGAGGGGATGAAAGAATTCTGCAATGATGAGCAGTCTCTCCATGACCGCAAGTGGGTTCATTGAATGACGTAAAACTTGGATTGCTGCCACACCCTTTGATGATGACGCCGGCCGCCAACGTGTTCGCCAGCACTTTCACCTCCCTCTCGTCCAGAGCATGTCCCAACCTTTTTAACCCTGGTCGACCGTATGTCCAAACCCTTTTTCAAGCTTCGCTTCCCGCACTCAAAATGGCACGCGAGACACGTGCGAAATCACTTAACGTCATGTTCTCATGCCAGAAATTCATGTCCTCATCGTAGAACAGCTGAGTTTACGCAGATGAGGAGTCTGTGCAGATGTTGGGGGTCACGGCCACAGCTTACGGTCCGTTTCGTTTGTTCCCACCAGTCCCGCGCGTTCCCTGCTCGCACGGTTTCTGTCACTCAACACCCGGGCCGCGTGTTGCCCACATGTGCTCCCCCCGACACATGCGACGGGTGCAAGCGTCATCCCTCATCTATGCATCTCTCATTCTCTATATATGTGCGTGCTAAAACCTTCATTCCAAGTTAGGGATTGGCGGATGATCTCAACGCATGGTAGCAAAAACAAGTGTCTCTAACATGTGAGGCGAAAATGGGGGATGGTGTTTGACATATGGCTTAACTAGAGTTTGTCTGTGTCACTGTTTCTTGCGAAGTGCAAGGCCAAACGGTGGTTTTGACATATGTTGTTGGAGTTTCCCTAAGCAACTGTGTCCATTCACTTGCATGGGAAAGGGCGGGAGCTTGGAGAGCTGTCATTACTTCGTCACCGTATGTTGAATTGCAGGGTGGAGGGGGGTGACTTTGACAAATGTCTCTACTCGAGTCACCCCTATTTGGAGTGCAAGCCGTAGTTGAAGTGGTTTTGACACAGGTCTTTACTGGAGTTTCCATGTAGCACTGTTTCTTGTGAATTGCAAGGTGAAGCGGGGGCGGTTTTAGCATATGTCTCCTGGTGAGCCATGCTATTTTCAATAGCCAGGCAAAGGCGGATCGTTTTAGCAGATATCTCGAGTTGTGTTTCCTTGTTCCACTGTGCCGCTTCAATTGTCAAGGCGAGGGGGGGAGAAGGGGCGCAGGATGTTTTATCTACTTGATTGATCCATTCTGAATTGCAGGGCCAAAGCGAGGTGCCTTGAAGAACTGTCTTTACTTGGATTTCCGTGGATCACTGCTTCTTGTGAATTACAGGGCCAAAGGGGTGGCTTTGTCAAGTGTCTCTACTCGAGGCACTTGACCGTTAATACTTGCCAGGCCAAGACGGGGTGTTCTAAAGAATGCATCTACGTGTTTCCTCATTCCACCGTACCCGTTCCATTGCAAGGCCAAGGGGTGTTGTTGTTACATATGTCTGTGGAGCTTCCCCATGCCAATGTGTCTTCTCAATTGCAAGGCAAAGGGGCAAAGGGGGGGGAGACGGATTGAACAAATAAATTGCAGGGCGGGGGAGTGTGTCTTTTGCCCTCTACTTGAGCTTCCGGTTTTTTACACGTGTCGCTGAATCCTTGAAGGCAATCGCGGATGGCGTTAACAAATGTTGGTAGGGCTGTTGCTGTGCAATTTCAAGTGCAAGCTGAAGGGGGGCGGGGAACATACATCTCTTCAATTTCGGAGCAAGTTGGAACATGAAATATGTCAGCCCACTTATCTTGAGCATCTACGCGCGATGAATGAAGGTCGCTCCTCCTGACTCTTGTTCCTGACATTCCACAAATAGCAACGGAATATGAACACTTAACCAGCTGGCTCTGAAAGCCCCACCTCCTCCTGACTGCTTCTGCCCAAAGGTATAGAAGGCTTGCATGGGCGCGCCGGCAAAGTCCGGCTGCCTGCTCCATCGTAGAGAGCTCGCGAGGGCGTAACCACCTTGTAAGCATGTCTGCATATTGTGACATAGCTGCTTCCTGCATACTGAGGGACCACACTAAGCCCAAGGCCAACATAGTCGCAAGTGAGATCCTTCATTCCATACATCAGCAGCACTGGGATTCCCAGATCCAGCATTTCTTGAAGCGTCTCTGTGTATGCAAACGGAGTGTGGTCGAAGCCATTCGGCAGCGTTATGCAACCACCAGCACATCCACTGAAAGTGTCTTGCCCAGCTGTGCCACAGATGTGCAGTGCCTCAAGGACCTCTTCCCTGGAGAACCAGTTGGAAAAGTTGGTGTAGTTGTATCCATAAGTTGCGCATGCTGGGCCCACGTCCGGAATTGTGTGGTCATAGGTGTTGGGTCGGTAATGTAAGTAGTTTGTCATCATCTGCCTAGCCTCCCACATATTTGCGGGAGCCGCATCTGCAGGGAGCAGGCCCATTTGTTTAGAGTACACGAGGAAAGTATCGAGACCTTGGATTGAGTCATCAATGCATGCGCTGCTCAGGGCAATGCCCGCAACTCGAATTGCGGGCACGTTCCTGAGATCCTGGTTATATTCTGCGATGGCTTTAGCCCAAGCCGGCACAAAGTGCCCAGCATAGGACTCACCTGCCAGCACGAATCTAGCATCGATCTCCGGGAAATACCCTTGCCAGCCTCGCAAGAACTGGACCATGTCCAGCGCTGCCTGAGCTGACGAGTTCACAAATGGACCCCTACCTGTGGAGAAGCCCACGTAGCGCGGCTGATCTACTATGAGGACATGAGCGCGCCGGTTCCAGGCATACTTGTTATAGGACAGCTTTCCCGAGAAGAAGGGTGATCTCTTCACACCATCGAGAATCAGTGGGCCAATCTCCGTCGCTGCTCCTTCCATCGAAGTGCACCCTGGCCCACCATTTGTCCAAAGGATGACGGGGGCAGATTCCATTGGCTCCATGGCCTGGAAAAACCAGTAGAATAAATAATCGTCGGCAGTCACATTCACGTAGCCTGGCAGGGGTCAACAAATTCTCATGTCACTCGTTTAGTCGCAGCCAGATGGCTCCCTGAGTACTGTGAGTAAAAACATATGGATGAATTTTGTGGCTTGGTCCAAGCGTCCGCTGTACATCAAGAGACCCGGATCGTCCAGCATAAGCTCTTTCGGAAAATAAACTGGAGCTTTTGGAACAGGCTTGCTGCACATTCCGGCCTGGAGCATGGGATTGGTTTAAGCTCTGGTGGCTTTGGACGTTTGTGCTACTTTATCAAAAACCTTTAATGCAGGCTTCAGGTTGAAAAGCAAAAAGGCTGGCACAGAAGCGAAGCGCACAATTGCATTCTGTCATATAGACATATCATATCGTGTGCCTCGAAGCTTCATTACTGGGACATTTGGACACTTGCGATCTGTTTTCGCTACCTCCTGCTGACTGACTGTGCTTAGCATCCCTTGCGCATCAGGCGCGGAGAAAGTGCCAGACCGTGGAATGCGGCCACGGCCTCATGCACCGCTGCTCAGCATCTCAGGCATCATTAGCACCCATTCGCCAGAGGTTCCGAGAGGGTAAGAAGACATCTGAGTCCGCGAAACAGGTGAGAAGAAGGGTCGGGAACCTGCGAGGCGTGGCAGAAGAAGGCCTGTGAAGGCGGGTACGGTACATTGACAATGAGGAGCAAACTGTTGGACAAGAGAAACTCTGCCTTCTGTGGAAGATCCCAGAGGGTTCTTTCAGAGATGCTCGGAGCAGAAAAGCCCAGACCCGAATGCTCTAAAAGGGATGGGGAGAAATCGAGAAGCAGATTGGCAGGCTGCTGGGCGCCAGCTGAAGAGAATGCAACGAGCCTTGCAGCTGAATAGAAAACCACATGAGAGCAAGGCAGCCATCACCCAATCACTCGGCAGGGGCGAGGGAATTTGGATCATTTTCAAACATCGACAACCTTCTAAGATCATGTGTGCATTTGGGTTGACTGGTCTAACTTCCTGCCAATCATCTCCATTCCGTGCGTGCAGCAAGCAGAATGTGTGATGCTGCGAGCACTCTGTCAGATGCTTCTCGTGGTCCTACAGTAGAGTCCTTCCTGTAGATGCCTGAGGCCTTGAACACATCACCTGAGCCACCATGCCGGTTGTCTGTTGGATGCCAATGCATCAACCATGCCGTGAGCGGATTGCATCCGGCATTCCACGAGAGGCCCTGAAATTTGAGAAGCCTTGCCTCGACAATGTCAAGGCTTGCCCAGAACAGGACCAGCTGTAGAATGAAGCCCATGGTTGCTTCAATTTGGGGCCAGGCTTGGCCAAAAGTACTCAGCTAATGGACTAACTTTATCGGTAGACTAGGATGAACACCATCATCAGGAGTATCAATGGTCTTCAGAACTCCGTCATTAGGCATATACTGGCTTGGAGATTCTGGTCTGCTGCAAAGTTCTGACGCAAAACATATTGCTTCTAGAATCCTCCCTGACGAAGCGACGTGACTCCCGACATGTGCTGGAACCAAAGTTGCGCAGTACGCAGTCCCAACTGCCGTTCTGGTAGAACTTGCAAATCATGCCATGCATATGCCCTATCAATCAATGAATTCGTCTGATTCCTGCTCCGGCCTCTATACGCAGTGTGTGCTTCAATATCAACTGCGCACAGGGCCCAGTTAAGTACACACTGGTTCACGCGTGAATAAATTGCAGAGCTGCAAGAACTCCTACAACCAACTACATGAAGTCATGAGCTGCTGTATCTGCTGATGTTGTTGTCAAAAGAGCGCAACTAGTTCCGCACAAGATACACAACACTGCTGGTAGTGAGCACAGTGCAGGGTCACATCAGCGACGGGTGGCGGCTCTTGCCTGGCCTCGGCACCACAGGAGGAGCGCCCAGCGTCTCGATGGACATCTGTTGGAACCTGCCAAGTCATAGCTTGATAAGTGACAGGGAGGGCCTGAAAGATGGAACACGAAGAGACTCCGAACGACAGGGAGTATCTCCAAACCAACCCAACATATACAAACTCCTAAAATCCCCCTCAATAACCTCTATAACACTCCCCTATATAATCCCCTGTACACCCCCCTTCAAAAAGTATAGCTCAAACGCTGGGGAGCTTGCTCGCTGAGAACGCGGAAGTGCTGGAACTCAAAACTGCTGTCCTGCACATGGCTTGTCGGAGCATGCACATGCAGTGAACTGAAGGGCCGTGAATGCAAGAACAAGGTTCCTGAATTCCCAACTATAACCCCAATAAATAACCCATTATTGTAGTAGTTCCATTTCCTTTTCCATCATCCCTTTACAAGCCCAATATATGGGGATTTCCTAAAATTATCGGTACCATTTTGGGGGTCCCAATAATAAGGATTATAGTATTTGGGGTCTATATTGAGGCCCCCTGATTTTGGGAAACTACCATATATTCACCACTAACCCTTAAAGACCATGAGACCACTCCAGCCTTGGCCTCCGGCGTCGAAGACATCTTCTCCTTGCTCTCTTGCGGACTCGTTTCATTCTTGTCGAAGCAATCCGATGGCTTGTCCCACCTGTGCAAAGTACTGTTCACATTAAAATCCTGCATGACCCTAGTATACTACAATAGTATCATTATTCTCAAGGTATAAGGTACCTAGGGTCATGCCGTTTTTTCTGAGTCATGCAGGATATTTAGTATCCACCGTATGTAGGCAGCCATGTCCACAAGTCGCAAGGGGAGTGAGCCAAATTAAGGATAGTGCTTCATGCAGAACTAAGGGCAGAAAAGTAGCATGATCAGCGCCCTCTTTTCACTCACTCCTACGCACTTCCCTTTGAAGGGCAAGTCCTGCAAATGCGTAGTCTGGCAAAGCAACTTCTAGTCCATAGCCAAAATCATAGGGTGATGTAGGACTGTATATGTATAGGGCCATACAAGGTTTATGTAGGGTTGCGTAGGGTCATGTAACCTTTCCTATGCCCGTCTGCAACAGCCTGTCCGTACGATTGATCGGGGACCACGACGAGTCGTTGGAGCGGTTCGTAGGTGGAGCCATCTCTTCCCCTGCAGCGAAGCACTGCGTGGTGTTACGATTTGAGGCTGCAAGAACCCCGGTTTGTAGAAGGCTTCAACTGCCAGGTTGTTATTAGCCAGGAGCAACCAGCCTTGCTCTGCATCTGGATATCCATCTGGATGGAGAGTGATGTTGTACGTGCGGTTGTAGACTTAGCCATGCCGTCTTTGGCACTTTTCCCGGAAAGTGATCACAAAGTCTCAATGATTGCTGTGCTTTGCCGTCTGAGGCTGAAGCAGACTTCGCGAAGCTTCTCTGTGTAGTGGGTCTCTGCAAGTCTTCTTGCTTCTTCCAGCGCCTCTCACCGGCATTGCTGGCACAAGCCAGAGTTGGTACATGTGTGGTATGCAGTGGCGCACATTGCTGGGTCGGTTGAAGTCCACATCCACAATTCCTGTGAGGAGGTAGCGCGGACCTTGGTTCTAAGACAAGCTGCCATCTAGCTTTGTATTGTCAGCTCGGGTACTCTCTCACACTAGCAAGATCCTAGGCTTCCTCGAGTAGGTATGCGTGCATGCAACAGGCATTCGTGCTATCTGGGCAGTGCATGGACGTGAAATGTCCTTGGTGCGCAGCATGTACCCGCGTTGCAGTACGCGCCAGCAGGGCAGGGCCTGAGTGGGCGATTGTAATTATTACAAATAATGATGATAAGAAAAACAATGGTATTTGTAAGTATTGATAATAATAGTAATGTAGCAATAATCAGAATAATACTGATGATAGTAATATGCTGTGAATGAAAACCCCGTTTTGTCGCGCCCCCCGCCCCCCCCCCTGTTACAAACCCTTTGTCGCGGTCTGTTGTTACCTACCTTTGTCGCGAATGATTGGCGCAGGTATGCACTACAAAAGAACCTTGTCACAAAGGGGCTTGTCGCAAGCCAGGAGATTCTGTTACAAACCTATTCACAGCCATATAGCAACATAATACTTACAATGGTAATGGTAATAATACCGGAAATAGACATCGGAGAGCCGGCATTATTTGCACACTGTATTGTAGATTAGGGTTATACGCGGAGAATGGAAAAGAACATGGCAGCTACTACATTATAACAAGGTATATACAGGGATTATGTAGGGGTTACATCGGGATAATGGAAAACTGCTTATGGTAATTAGGGTTCTACATGTCTCCAGGCTCTTTAAGTCTTTGCACTTTACGGTGCTTCAAGTCATATGCATGCAATCCCTGAACTGATCTAGGAACTCCCCCAACATGGCTGCCATAATCCTTGCATGTCCAGCTCCTGCGTCCTGAGCCTGAGATCACCGCAGAGGGCGCTTGAAGTTCCAAAGCCTCGCAGGGTTCTGGAGTTATTTATGTTTATCCATGGCAAGCATGGAACTGAGGATGAAATCATGGGACTACTTTGGTGATCCATCCGACTAGGAAGCACGAATGACAAATCTTCAGTCTGCGTTGATGAGCTGAAATCCGACGCGCAGTACGCCTGTTGACGCCCGCTGAGACGGCTAAGGCCGAGACTTCTCGATGTAGTGGTGAAGCCAGGCCCTTGCCTGTGATGATTGCTATCACTACTATCATTACCAATTTTCATATTCGTATTATTAATAGTGATATTATTGTTACTGGTATTCCTCTGATTATTACTCGCATGTGAACGTTGGTCTGCTATCTCTCCGTCTCTCTCTTTCTTCCTTAGTTCGGGCGTTCCTCTTTCTTTCTTTCTTTCGTTCAGGCTATGGTGGAGGGACAGTAGTCCCGGGCGTTCCTCTCTCCCTCTCTCTCTCTCTCTACTCTATACATATATGGCTTGCTGCAGTGCCTCGTTCAGAGCTTTCGATGGATCAAGTTTGTGAAAAGGGCTGGCAACGCCACATGCCCCATTGAACCGTTAGGGGCTGAACCCATGCTTCCAGGTAAACCTAGCTGAGCTTTCGAGGCTACTTCAGATTGGGCATGATAGCGACCAATAGTTGAGAATCAAACGGAAATGAAATGGAAACCTCAGGTGAGCCCCTTTTGGACGGTGGCCATAATAAAGATCAAAATATGTTGGGGTTCATATTGGTTCCCCTCTTTCTGGAAACCCAGGTTTCTGTGATAATGAAGCATCAAACGGAAATGAGATGGAAGAA